CGATCTCTCGCGTTTTATAAAACGATCTTCGAGTTTTATAAAACGATCTCTCGAGTTTTATAAAACGATCTCTCGAGTTTTATAAAACGATCTTCGAGTTTTATAAAACGATCTCTCGAGTTTTATAAAACGATCTCTCGAGTTTTATAAAACGATCTTCGAGTTTTATAAAATGATCTCTCGAGTTTCATAAAACGATCTTCGAATTTTATAAAACGATCTCTCGAGTTTTATAAAACGATTCTCAAGTTTTATAAAATGATTCTCGAGTTTTATAAAACGATTTTCTAGTTTTATAAAATGATTCTCGAGATTCATAAAACTGTTGCGTTTACGCGTTTGCGGGGAATTTTGGCTATTGATTCCGTCGTACCGATTTTGACCCCAACACATAACAGACTCCTCGTCAAGGAAAACATGCTACACTCTAAGCCTGTTGCTACTCCACTTCCGACCCATCCAAAGCTCAGGCTTACTTCTGGCTCTGTTTTGTCTGACCCACATGAATATCGAAGACTTGTTGGTAGTCTACAGTACTTAGCTCTGACTCGTCCAGATATTTCTTACACAGTGAATCGCCTCTCCCAATTCATGCATCGACCTACAACAGATCATCTCCAAGCCTTGAAGAGAGTACTTCGATATTTATCTGGTACTATTAGCCACGGGATCTTCTTGCGCAAACAGTCGACACCATCTCTCCATGCCTTCTCGGATGCAGATTGGGCCGGTGACGCTGATGATTACGTCTCTACAAATGCCTACATCATTTATCTTGGATCTAATCCCATCTCCTGGACTTCTAAAAAGCAGAAAGGTGTTGCAAGGTCGTCTACGGAGGCTGAATATCGCGCTGTTGCAAATACTGCCTCAGAACTTCGTTGGGTCCGTTCCCTCCTACATGAGCTTGGTGTTCCGGTACAAACGACGCCTACAGTCTATTGTGACAACATTGGTGCAACGTAACCTACCTATGTGCTAATCCTGTTTTCCATTCTCGAATGAAGCACATTGCTCTTGATTATCACTTTGTACGTGGCCAGATACAGACAGGTGTTCCTCGGGTTGCTCATGTTTCTACGAAAGATCAGCTTGCAGATGCTCTAACTAAGCCTTTTGCTCGTGCACCATTTCAAGGCTTCAGGAACAAGATTGGTGTTACGCAAGCACCACCATCTTGAGGGGTCGTGTTAAGGAGATATGATATAATGGAGGCCCTTATGTGTAACTAGTTAATTGTACTGTATGCCCTAACGTAGTTATGTATATATACTTCTCAAATACCTAATGATAAAGTATTCAGCCTTTCATCTATACTATATTGGTTACTGTGATTATCTCTTTATATCAGACATATTTCTAGCTATAGAAAGTCAGATAGAGTGTTAATAAAGCGTGTACTTCCTAAAAATATTCTTCATAACGCAGAGATTGCAATTCCTTCTTATGATTATTGTCATCTGCTTAGTTTCCATACATATATATTTTTTTTGGTCAAAAGTTTCAAAAAATATAAGATGATCTTTCTTATTATTGATAATGTAGCCACCCAGATCAGTCACATCTGGCTTATTATTGTGGTGGAAGCTGAATCATGGAACTAATATCCAGTGAAGATCTCTCAGGTTTATTTAAGCATATTTATCCGCAACCTCCAAGAGAAGAGAACATAGTTCGTGAGGCTTAGAGAACATTGACATATGATCTGCGTCTTTGATCTCCATCACCTCTTTTGGCTGAAATTTTGTGATCATCCAACGCTGGTAATCCTCAGGTATTGCAAGGTCCTCTCCACATACGATAAAAATACGTGTAACAGATCCGTACCCATCCTCGCTAAAGCTTCTTGTCCCTGCTAAATTGTCTGTAACTATGGGGTTTACCCTCACCAACATTTTCGCCAAAACAAGATCCTAACATGCCACGACAACAATCAACAAAAGATTTGACTTTGAAAGTAGAGATAATTATTATTAAGCTTAGAGTCGTACTTCTGGCGGAGAGAGCTGATAGAGATGTTTGGACATGAAGTTTGGCCCAAAAAGGGCAAACTCTAATAGGTGATCAGGTTTTCCGTAGGTTCCGAACACGGTGTCCAACCAATCCTCTTTTGAGAAACTTGTGTCCAGCTGCAGATTTCAGGCTATCAGAATCACTTGGAAGAGATCAAACTGTTGCAACCAAATCATTTCGTACGTACCTTTACTAAAACACAAGTGTTGTGAAAAGCCTAAAAAAGAAAAAGAACTATTGAGAGAAAACTCATTGAAGCAAATACAGGTATAAGATTGTTATTAAATTATTTACTATTATACCCTAACCTTCAAAACTTTGATTTTTTCTAATAAAAATATTTCAAGCCTAAATATTATCTATTAAAAAAAAAAGGAATTATGCTAATATGGAACAGAAAAACAGCCTTCATGTCTAGTATAAAACCTACTTGTCATTGTCCTTATAGTATAAATCTTTTCATAATCCCAAAACTAACCTTACATTAATCTAATTAAACATATTTTAAACATTTAACGTCAAATAGATTAAAAAGAAAAAAAAAGGTTACAACAATAAAAAGTAAAAGGGAACAAATCAAGTCCCGTAACCCTAATTCTACGCCTGGCCTTCTCTCTTCTCTGTTTCCCCTCAGCTCTCTCTGTCCTTCTCCCTCTCGTCATCTCTCTCTCTCTCTCTCGTCATCTCTCTCTCTCGTCATCTCTCTCTCTCTCTCTCTCTCTCTCTCTCTCTCTCTCTCTCTCTCTCTCTCTCTCTCTCTCTCTCTCTCTCTCTCTCTCTCTCTCTCTCTCTCTCAACGACGATAACATAGCTTCTCTCTGCCTCTCTTTCTCCGACATCAGTAGAATCAAGGTAAAAGTCGAAACTATCAATGCTTGAGTCTTGTTCGAATCTTAATCTATGTTCTTTATTATTAAGCAATGGCATGATCCAAGCTAATGTCAATGCTTTCATATGGTGATAGCATAGTTTTGAATAATTCTTTGATATGGTGATCACTGTAGTTATGAAGAACATTTTTATATGTTGATAGTTCTTATCTAGTACAGTAACATTAGGGATCAACTCAGTTGTGTTTGGTAGATGATGATGATGATGACATGGATCTGTTTGGTGACGAGACATGGGAGGAAAAGAAAGCTGCAAAGGAGAGGGAGGCTGCTAAGAAGGACACCAAGTAGCCCAAAGAGAGTAAGCACTCTCTTTTGTTTTTTTGATGTAAAACACATGTGATAACTGATTAACTGCATCTTATTCTCTTATTGAAATTTGAACTTTTTGTTAGGTGGAAAGTCATTTGTGCTCATGGAAGTTAAGCCATGGGATGATGAGACTGACATGAAGAAATTTGAGGCGTGTGTACGTGCTGTTGAGATGCAAGATCTCTTATTGGGAGCTTGTATGTCCGCTATCAAAATGAGCTTAAGTTTTGAATTATATGTGTAGGACAGCTTCCTAATCTAGTGTTTTCTACTGTTTAAACTGTTGCAGCAAAACTGGTACCAGTTGGTTATGGGATCAAGAAGCTCACGATCATGCTCACAATTGTTGATGACCTCATGTCCCCAGACAATATCATTGAAGACTACCTCACCTGTGACCCTAACAACGAGTACATCCAGAGTGTTTACATCGTCGCATTCAACAAGATCTAGAGACTCTAAATTTCTCTCTTCCAAAATTATATTTCCTTCCAAGTTATGTGTTTGTATTGTTAGATTCTTCTTTTCTAGTTGCAACTTGCAAGACCCTTTTCATGTTGCAAGAAACATCAAGTTATCAATGCTTACTATCCTTTTGCCAAAACTGTTACTTCCAATGCCAAAATAGTTTTTTTTTTATGACCAATCCATTACAATGCAAGAAACATGAATAAAGATCACTGGTGGACAAATTGATGTATTGATCAAGTTAGAAGGTAAATAACTCAACTCCAAATCGACCAATTTGGTTTCTTCCATATTAAAATCCTCCAACACCATTCTCTTTAAATCCTCCAATGTAGAACTTGATTCCAATAACTGTAACCTACCCCTTTTTCATCAGCCGAAAACACCCATCCCATCTTGTCCAGTTCAGTCGATTTTCACTGATTGATCTATCATAGATCGATCGATCTCTATTTTAGATCGATCGATCCCAAACATTAGTCTATGGACATCCATATAAACCCACCAAAATTGAGTAATGATCTTCGTAAGTTAAAGTACATCTTTCGAATGACGGGATCGATCGATCCCATAAAGAGTCGGTCGATCCCAACGGTCGATCTCGATGATTAAACAAAAACATAAAAAAGCACGGAGCAGAAACTGATCGAACTTGTCCAGTTCAGTCGATCTTCACCGATCGATCTATCATAGATCGGTAATCGATCGATCCCGATCCCAGATTATTAAAAAATCTTTTTGAATATTTTCCTAAATATTTTCCCAAAATTTCGGATTTTTTTTAATCTTATCCGTAGAAGCTACCTTCTACAGAAAGTAGAATTACTAACGTCCTACTGTAAGCAAATTCTACTAATAGTAGAGGTTTGAGTTATTTGTAGATTACGTATTCTGAGATATGTAGAAGTGACTTAAAATGTAGAACCCGCATTCAGTTATTCTGTAGAATCCTATATAAACATAGAATATAGATTCTAAAATATGTAGAGTCTTATACAAACGTAGAATATAACTTTCTAAAATTGTAGAGTTTACTATTTAACGAGGAATATGACTTCTACTATGCGATTTTTTGTAGAATATGAGTTCTATTCTCCGTAAAACGTAATTAAAATTTTTAATTTAACAAGTTTTTGAAAATATTAAAAATATCACTTTGTGTATATAGGTATTTCATCACTTCTCTGTATTTTTATATATTTTTCGAGTCATAGAATTATTTATTTTACTAATTTTTGTAAATAGAAAGGGTAAAAGGGAGAAAAAATAGACAAAAAGTGATTTATACTAATGGGACATGAAGGCTGTTTTTTTTTCTATATTAGCATAATTCCCTAAAAAAAATTAGATTCCGATCAGCGTTTTAAAACAAGCGGATTGTTGTTTAACAAAATTATTAAACAAAAAAATGACAAAGGAGTGAAGAGAATCAGTTCAGTTCTCTTTGTAGCCAAGTGAAGAGCATTTAACATTATCTTTTGTTAAAAAAAAAAGTTACCCTTTGTTGTATTTGTCTGCTACGAAACTGGGTTTCTTTCTGCATAAATCTACATTATAATAGTTCATTTCTAAGGCTCCTAAAGTTATCCACATCAGCAAGTTTGTGGATCCCGCGCATCTAAATTTTAAAAGCTTATAGTTTTTTTAAAATGACTATGAACAATGAATACACTTTAGCAAAGTGGTATAAGGCATCTAATTAAGTCTACAAGTATGTGGGTTCAAAACCACCCAAATGTTATGTATTTTAGTTTTTTCGTTTGGATTATTATCATATGGGTTTTTTAGTTTTAATGTTTTTATGTTTTTTTTTCCTCTGGACTTATTGTTTAAAGCCCAAAATAGTGGAAAAATCCTAAAGTTTGACGAACTCAAATCCAAAAACAATTAAAAATGGATAAAAAAACGAACAGCCAAAAAAAAAAAACGAGTCTCACGCGGCACTATCATGTCCTAATATATATTTTTACTGTTAGAACAATTTTTTTTAATATATATTTTCAAAAAATTATGTATGTGAAATAAAATTTAAAAAATAGTTTTGTTATTTATAAAATAACTATGTAATTTCTCTTCAATTTTAAATAGTTACTATAATTTCATTTTTATCAGACTCCGGCGGATGGATTTCCACAGTCGATGACGCCGTAAAGAAAAATACCACATTATTCATGAACAAAATCCAAACTTACAAAAAAAAACATATCCAAACCTATCTATTGAAACCCAAACAACAAATATTAGCTTAAATTAAAGTTATTTTCAAATTGATAAATTATTTAGTACAAATATAAATACTATAAATAAATATTTATATCAAGTTTTGACATCCGATATAAAAACTATTTCCAACATAAAAAAACAATATAGACATCTATTTTTATACACTAAAAACTATATTATAATTTAGTTATTCCTATAAACCTTATTTTGCATATAAATAAACTTTAACACATTATATATAAAATATTTTCACTTTGCACTCTTGCTACATTCTTTCCATTTCATCATTATTTGGTATTATTAGAATAACCCACTAAACCAACAACCGAAAAAAAACACAGATCCTGACCCCGCGCTTGCGCGGGGGTTATGCAGCTAGTCATAAAAGGTGAGATATCTTGACTTATAATTTGTAGCCAATGAAAGTGCCTATTCTTTGCGAGTTTGTGTTTGGTAATAACATTATGCTTTTCTTTTCTAGGTAAATTATGGTGTTCGGTTTGTTTTATTAAATATTAGGTAATAACCCGCGCCTTGCGAATAATGTGATTATTAGTTTCGTATTTTTTAATAAAGGTATATATTTTTAATATGGATATCGCTTCAGTTTTAAATTTTTGTTTTTTTTAATCTCCTAAAATATAAAAATCCTTCTAAATCAATATTTATTTTGATTTATTCGGGATAAAATGATTGATGTTTTTTGTTTTTCCGGTGATAACCAACAATTATTATTATCTGTTTTATGTTCATGTTATATAAATTTTAGATAGTTCTAATGTCAAATCAATGATTTTATGTTATAGTTTATAAATGGATGATAGTTAAAAAACAAAAATAAAATTATTAAGACAAATTATTTTATTACAATTTGGTGGATAGTGAAAAAAATATCAAGAAAAAAATATTTTAACTTCTAAAATAATTAAATAGTTTAGTTGTGGTGGATATTTAATTATATATATACACACATCAGTCAATTTGCACATGCGTATGTAAACATTATATAAAAGTGGTTGATAAATATATAAAGATACTGTTAGTTAATATTAAATGATATTTTTTCTCAAAATAACACATATAATTCTTTAAATATATGTATATATATGCATATAACAGATCTAATCAGATATCCATATTGATATTTGTGATTTTCTTTATTGTTTACTGATATTACATTTTAGTATTTGATTTGCTTCTAGAATTAAGAATATCCAAATTTTTCGGTTCAAATCAAAATGGAAACGAAAGGAATAAAAATTTATAAATATTTTGTCCAGCCGTATCCATAAAGAATAAAAGTAATATATATATATATATATACATATATTATATAATTATACATTTTGATTCGAGACAAAAAATATGGATGGTGTTATTTTTGTCAGCACTGTGCATGTGAGTTTTATATCGAAAAAATCAAAAAAATTATAGTGTGTATGCATTTATGTAGAGTTTGGCTAAAAAGCTTTTTACATGTGACACGTCAACGTTTTCATTCTCAAATCACTATGAAATTGACACAATGTCCTTTAAAGTGTGAACGCATTAATTGCATTCTTTAATATATAAGGAATAATTACGTTTTAAATAGAGTTGGTGCTAAATTGGTTCAGAGCACTAATAAAATGTGTATTAATAGAATCCATTTGAGAGAAAAAAATACCTTTAACGAGAAATCCATATATATTGCTAAAGGGAGTTGCATTTATGGTAAATCATATGACCAAGGTTATTTTTCTGGAATATTTTTATTACAAGATAGATTTCTAAAAATTAAAATACTGCATACCAAAAGTTGAAATATGTTAGAGATTTAGAAGATAAGCTGACGAGATTCTAGTGACAAGCATGAAATTTTTCTAATATCTTTAATAAGTATTTATTTGATTTCGTTAGCAATTCCTAATAAATTGATGAATTTATTAAAAATATTTTTTAAAATATTTTGTTGGAAATAGTTAGATTTTTTTGAATTCTAAATAAAATATTGAGTATAGAAATTTATTTCAATTTTTCAGAAAATTTCTGACAAAATATTAAAAATATATTTATTTTCGTCGAATTTTTTTAGAAAATTTGTATGACAGATTTAGTTTTATTGAAAATTTCATCTGCATCAGCCTCTATGAATGTCTTTGACGGGTTTCTCGGTGGACTATGCTTAGATTTCCGGTGGATGGTCATTAGGTGATAGTCGGGTTTCTATCGAGTGACATTCGAATACCAGGGTCATCAAAAAAAAATATTCCATCTGAAATTCTATGTTTTCTTAGTGTATTATCCATGACTATACTGTAAACACGAAAAACGGTGGCTATATTTGGTGGCTAAACCACATAATAATTATGGTCATTTAACTAGCTACGATGATATAGCCACGATACAAGTCTTGAAATGTTGGTGGCTATAGAATTTTCTTTTAATAGTGGAGACATTTTTTGCCCAATAATTTGAGAGAGAAAAACTAAGCAGAGATCCACACGGCTAAAAGACTGTAAAAGAGATGAAACTAGGTTGTGTCAAAGGGTTTTAAAGTTGTTGTTTCTTCTCTAGATTCAGCTGTCGTTAAATAAATACTTATTAAAGATATTAGAAACTGTTCTACCCACTGTTCTACTTTTTTTTTTTTTTTTTTTGGTAAAACACTGTTCTACTTTGTTGCACATAGAAAATGTTCTACCTAAAGAAAAAGATTTAGATAACATATCTGACTAGTCCCCGATCAAAAGAGATAACTCATCGTTTTCTATGTCTTAGGT